ACTCACCTCAGCCTCCCAAAGGCGCGGGATTACAGGCTGAGCCACCCAGCCCGGCTCCTTTTTTTTTCTTGAGTCAGAGTCTCACTCTGTCACCCAGGCTGGAGTGCAGTGGCACGATCATAGACACTACAGCCTTGACCTGCTGGGCTCAAGAGATCCTTCCACCTCGGCCTTCTAAGTAGCTGGGACTACAGGTGTGCACCACTATGCCCAGCTGATTTATTGTAGAAACAAGGTCTCACCATGTTGCCCATGCTGGTCTTGAACTCCTGGGCTCGGGCAATCCTCTCGCCCTGGCCTCCCTAAGTGCTGAGGGTACAGGTGTGAGCCAGTGCGCCCAAACAGTCTCCCTTTTTTTTTTTTTTTACATCCTTCCCATGTCCTGTCTCTCCTGGCTCAGATGTTTAGTAGGAGTTTGTGTGTGACTGTGATGGGGAAAAGACAAAGCAGGGGCCCTTTGGTAGGATCTTGGGCAGTCTTGGGAAGGTGGGGGCGTCTGAGTCTTGAACAGGGGTGAGATAAGTCTCGATTTCTTGGGGCCCTCCCCACATGGACAAGATGCAACCCTCTAATCCTTCCTCTTAGGCCTCCATGGCTGAAGGGACAATTAAGCTAATGCTCTGCATACACACAGGCCGCCTCCCTGACTCAGTGGCGGGGGCAGGAGTCGGGGGTTCTGAAGCCTGGAGGAGGGCTGGCCCAGTCCCAAACTGAACCCTAGGCCCTGTTCCTCAGGCCCAGGAGTGCTGAGCACAGCTGAAGGAGGATAATTAATTACTGAGTGCACACTCTGAATAGGTTCCCATAAAAGCTGTTTCTCGGCCTCGTATAAATATTTTCATTCTGGGAGGGGCTGGTGAGGCAGCCATAGAGTCACAGGCAAGGAGCCAGGGCCCGCCCCCTCCCCCAAGTCTCACCTGCTTCTCTCTCTTCCCAGGTCTTCAAGCAACTCAACGTGGTAAGCTCGAGGGACATGGGGCCTGGGCCTTACTTGGGTCTGGATCGGTCTGGAGTGAGGTCAGGACAGGGGTCTGCTGTCAGCATGACCCACCCCTCTCCACAGCCTGTGGGCAGCGTGGCCCTGGCCCCCCCGAGCCTCAGGAGGGCAACACAGTTCCTGGCGAGTGGCCCTGGCAGGCCAGTGTGAGGAGGCAGGGAGTCCATATCTGCAGTGGCTCCCTTGTGGCAGACAGCTGGGTCCTAACTGCTGCCCACTGTTTTGACAAGTAAGTCATGGTTGGGGCTAGGTAGGGTCTCTGGCTTTGGGGGTGGGTGGACAGTTTGTCCCCAAGACTGACAAGACCAGTCTCTAGCTGGGTACAGTGCCTCACACCTGTAATCCCAACACTTTTGGAGGCTGAGGTGAGAGACTTGCTTGAGCTCAGGAGTTTGAGACCCACCTGGGCAACACAGCAAGACCCTTCTCTACAAAAATTTTTAAAAATTAGCTGGTGTGGTGGTGCACACCTATAGTCCTGGCTACTTGAGAGGCTGAGGCAAAAGGATCACCTGAGCCCAGGAGGTTGAGGCTGCAGTGAGCTATGATCATGCCACTGCAGTCCAGTCTGGGTGACAGAGTGACACCCTGACTCAAAAAAAACAAAAAAACTGATTCCTGCCCCTACAATAAGAATAAAGTGCCATTTATTGAAAATCTGCTACATATTGTCAAGTTAACGTTAACAACAACCTTTCATGGTAGTAGCTTTACAAATGAGAAAACAGAAGTTGAGGGGAGGGAAGGGAAGGACCTTGTTTAAAGCCATGAACTGTTGTCTGCCTACCTTCCACATACCTGCTGTCTCCCATGGTGTTTCTGTCTCCCCCTGTGCTCACCAGCCTTGGCCTTGTCCCTCCCTCTCCAGGGCGGCAGCGTTGGAATTGAACTCATGGTCAGTTGTTCTGAGTTCTCTGCAGCGTGAGGGGCTGAGCCCGAGGGCTGAGGAGGTGAGGGTGAGTGCCCTGCAGTTACCCAGGGCCTATAACCACTACAGCCAGGGCTCAGACCTGGCCCTGCTGCGGCTTGCCCACTCCACAGCCCACACACCCCTCTGCCTGCCCCAGCCTGCACATCGCTTCCCATTTGGAACCTCTTGCTGGGCCACTGGCTGGGATCAGGATACCAGTGATGGTAAGTGCTGCCCCAGACTGAAGCCCAGAAAGGCAGTCTGCTTGCCCAAGGTTAGTCTTAGCTCCCAGCTGCTCCAGCTCCCAATCTCACTTGCTTCCCACAGCCAACTCTGGCTCCAACTCATCTCTTTTACCAGCTCCCGGGACCCTACGGAATCTGCGCCTGCGTCTCATCAGCCGCCCCACGTGTAACTGTCTTTACAACAGGCTGCACCAGCGACCGCTGGCCAGCCCAGCCAGGCCTGGGATGCTGTGTGGGGGTGCCCAGCCCGGGGTGCAGGGGCCCTGTCAGGTCTGATGGGTAGGAGACGGGGAGGGGACCTAGCCATGGGCTGGGGGCTTGACCGATGTGGAAGGATGGAAGGGCTGCAGTCAGAGGGTCTCAGGTATCTGTCCTTGGCTCTGATGCCTGGCTTCAGGGAGATTCCGGGGGCCCTGTGCTGTGTCGCGAGCCCGATGGACACTGGGTTCAGGCTGGGATCATCAGCTTTGCCTCAAGCTGTGCCCAGGAGGACACTCCTGTACTGCTGACCAACACGGCTGCTTACAGTTCCTGGCTGCAGGCTCAAGCCCAGGGGGCAGCTTTCCTGGTCCAGAATCCAGAGACCCCGGCGATTAGTGACGAGGACAGCTGTGTAGGTATGAGAAGGAGGTGTTGGGAGTGGGACGTTTGGGGACACCCAGATCTGCATGAGAATTTCTGGGCAGCCGATGGAAGCCACAGTGAAACAAACATCTGTTCAGAATAGAGAATTGATGCAGGGCACCCACACACTGCCCAGGCTAACTGGGGGGCTTTTCAGGCACATTTCAGCCCCTGGGATAGGAATAGCCCCATCAGGGCTGAGAGGCTTAGCCACTTTGGAACTTTCCAGATTTGAAGTCTAGGTAAGAGGAGGATTCTGAGACCTGACTGAAGGTTTCTGGGGGAAGCTGCAAGCTTCCAGGCAGGGACCCAAGGAGACTGGGCAGGGTAGGTCTGCCATAAAATGACTGACATGCAAATCAAATGCAAAATAATTCCCTGGGACGGAAGTTATGTCTTGATGGTAAGAGAAACACTAATGTGCCAGAAATACTAGAGCCAGTCCCAGCCTGCAGGGTGGAGTGGGGGAGTGATAAGTGAGCCATTCCCATGAGGCTGAGCTGGGGGGGCCTGTTAGATCACCAGGGTTAAAAGCTCAGACCCACCGGGTTCGGTGGCTCAGTCTGTAATCCCACGCCTTTGGGAGGCTGAGGTGAGTGAATTGCCTGAGCCCGCGGGGTCGAGACTCACCTGGGCAGCGAGACCTCATCTCTACAATAAATCAAAAAATTAGCTGGGCGTGGTAGCTACACGGAAGACTGAGGCGGAAGGATCGCCAGAGCCCAGCGGGTCGAGGTTGCGGTGGCCGGGAGTGGCCACTGCACTCCAGTCTGGGCGACAGAGTGAGACTCCAACTCAAAAAAAAAGCTCAGACCCAGGGTTTTGAATCCCAAATCAGCTACTTGTTTGTGGTTACAGAGCTAAAGTCACTTAACCTCTCTGAAACTTGGTTACCTCCAATAATGAGGATAACAAAATTCAATTTAAACAGATAAACTATGGCCATGTATGGTGGTTCACGCCTGTAATACCAGAACTTTGGGAGGCCAAGGCAAGAGGATTGACTGAGTCCAGAGGTTTGAGACTAGCCTGGGCAACGTGGCGCGATCTCGTCTCTACAATAAATAAAAAAATTAGCAGAATGTGGTGGCATGCGCCTGTGGTTTCAGCTACTTGGAAGGCTGAAGTGGAAGGATTACCTGAGCCCAGCAGGTCGAGGCTGCAGTGGCTGAGCGTGCTACTGCACTCCAGCCTGGGTGAAAAAGTGAGATTCCCTACTCAAAAAAAAAAAAAAAAAAAAAAAAAGATACTGTGGCTAGTTGTGGTGGCTCACGCCTGTAATCTCAACACTTTGGGAGGCTGGCAGAGGCAGGAGAATTGGTTCAGCCCAGGACTTCAAGACCAGCCTAGGCAACACAATGAGACTTGTCTCTACAAAACAAAAAAGCCGGGCATGGTGGTGCCTGCCTGCTGTCCCAGCTACTCAGGAGGCTGAAGTGGAAGGATCACCCCAGGAGATTGAGGCTGTGATTACGCCACTGCATTCCAGCCTGGGTGACAGACTGAGACCCTGAGTCAAAAAAAAAAAAAAAAAAAGAAAGAAAGATATAGTGAGGCAGGATTGCTGGAGGCCAGAAATTCAAGAGCAGCCTGGGCAACATAGTGAGACCTCCATCGCCACCAAAAAAAAAGAAAAAAAACCAAAACAAAAACAGGCATGGTAGTGCACACCTGTAGTCCCAGCTGCCAGCTACTGAGGAGGCTGAGGAAGAAGGATCACTTGAGCCTAGGAGTTCAAGGCTACAGTGAGCTATGATCACACCACTGCACTCCAGTCTGGGTAACAGAGTGAGATCTCTACAAAAAACCAGCCTGGTGTGGTGTCTCACACTTGTAATCCTAGCATTTTGGGAGGCTGAGGCAGGAGAACTGTTTGAGCCCAAGAGTCTGAGACCAGCTTGGGCAACACAGCGAGACCTCATCTCCATGAGAGAGGGGGGAAAAAAAAGAGGCTGGGTGCAGTGTTTCAGCCTGTAATCCCAGCACTTTGGGAGGTCAAGGCAAGAGGACTTCCTGAGCCCAGGGGTTCAAGACCAGCCTGGGCAATTTGGTGAGAACTTATCTCTACAATTAAAAAAAAAAATTAGCTGGGCATGGTGGTGCGCACCTGTAGTTCCAGCTACTTGGAAGGCTGAGGCAGAAGGACTGCCTAAGCCCAGCAGGTCAAGGCTGTGGTGGCCAGAAGCATGCCACTGCCCTCCAGCCTGGGCGACAGAGTAAAACTCCGATTCCAAAATAAAAAATAATTCGCTGGGCACGGGGCACATGCCTGTAGTCCCAGCTACTAGGAAGGCTGAGGCAAAAGGATCGCCTGCGCCCAGGAGGTCAAGGCTGCAGTGAGCCATGATCATGTCACTACACTCCAGTCTGGGCAACAGACAACCCAACTCAAAAAAAATAAGTAAAAATCAAAAAAAGATGTGAGGATTTGATAGAAAGCAGGAAGTACTTAGCACAGGGCCTGGCACACAGTGAGCACTTAACAAGAAATCAGATGACATAATCCATCTGTTTCAGCCTGTGGATCCTTGAGGAGAGAAGGTCCCCAGGCAGGAGCCCCTTCCCCATGGCCCTGGGATGCCAGGCTGAAGCACCAAGGGAAGCTGGCCTGTGGTGGAGCCCTGGTGTCAGAGGAGGTGGTGCTGACTGCTGCCCACTGCTTCATTGGGTGAGCCTTGTATCCCTCTCCTTTGTACCCCTGCCCCTGCTGGCAGCCTGTCAGCCAGTGTGACTGTCTGTATTGCCTCTGCACAGGCGCCAGACCCCAGAGGAATGGAGTGTAGGGCTGGGGACTGAGGAACCAGAGGAACGGGGCCTAAAGCAACTCATCTTGCATGGGGCTTATACGCACCCGGAGGGGGGCTACGATGTGGCCCTCCTCCTGCTGGCCCAGCCTGTGACGCTGGGTCCCAGCCTGCGGCCCCTCTGCCTGCCCTATGCCGACCACCATCTGCCTGATGGGGAGCACGGCTGGATCCTGGGGCTGGCCCACCAAGAAGCAGGTATGTAGGCCCGGGGCCGTAGGCAGCTATCCATCCAGCCTAAAGGCTGCTGGGGCAGCTAGGTCTTTTCCCTTGCCCTAGGTCTTTTCACCTCACCCCAGACCGTGCCTGTGACCCTCCTGGGGCCTAGGGCCTGCAACCGGTTGCACAAAGGCCCCGGGGGCTATGGCAGTCCCATTCTGCCAGGAATGGTGTGTACCAGTGCTGTGGGTGAGCTGCCCCACTGTGAGGTGAGCCCCAGTTCCCCACACTGTACCAACTGACCCCTGGCATCTCCTCACCCTATAGCTCAAGGACAGACATTCTGCCAGGCTTGGCTTCCTGCCCTGCCTCTCACCTGAAACTAGGAGGCCTTTTTGCCAAACAGCCAGAGCTTCAGCCCCTAGCCCCTCTGTCGCCCCCAACTGCTGCCCAAAAGGAAGAAGTCACACAGTGTCATCTGACCCGACAGGGCCTGTCTGGGGCGCCACTGGTACATGAGGTGAGGGGCACATGGTTCCTAGCTGGGCTACATAGCTTTGGAGATGCCTGCCAGGGCCCTGCCAGGCCAGCAGTCTTCACTGCACTTCCCGCCTACGAGGACTGGGTCAGCAGTTTGGACTGGCAAGTCTACTTCGCCGAGGAGCCACAGCCCGAGGCTGAGACAGAAATCTGCCTGACCAACATGAGTATGTGGACCTGGGGCCTCCCTGCCAAGCCCTTTCTCTCTCCATTGAGGGAAAGTGCTGCTCTGACCCACCTCTAGCTGCCCGGGGTGGGGTGGAGCAATGGACAGACCCACTTTGGATTCAAATTCTGGTGGTTCATCACGTGACTTGGAGCAGGCCTCTCAACCTTTGAGCCTCAGTATTTTCATCGGTCATGGGGGCCAAGATAGATCCTACTCCGTCGAGGGAGGGAGCAAAGGCATGAGGATGAGGCCAACCCTGCCCTCCCTTCCTCTCCGACAGGCCAACCAGCCAGCTGCTGACAGGTGACTCAGCTGTCCGCAGGATGCGAGAACACAAGAGGCAATTCCCGCATCACTGTCCCTGCTCATCCTCCCACCTGTGTGGCTCCAAGGACTGGGAGGCCCAAAAGCCCAGTTGGCTGTGGGAAGAAACGTGCCCAGGACCAGCCGATGCCCCCACTCCTCACCCTGCAGGACAGGGATGTCGCCTGTGGATGCTCCCACACCCAGCTCTGCTCTCTGACACAGGCGTCCCCAACTTTCTCTACCCTTCACCCTCTCAGATATAATCACGCCAGCCACATGTTTTGAGAATTTCTTTTTTTGGGGGGGAGCAATTTTCCTTTTTTTAAAACTTAAATAAATTGTTATAAAATAGACTTTAGAAAATAAGTTACAAATTGTAGCAAAAAGCTCCCCTTCCGTAGGCAACATTCCCACCCATGGTGCTATCTGCCTCTTCCTGTTGCTGGAATCTGGCTGGTGAGGGTAGCCAGTCATCTTGGTGGAGGGTGGCACTAGGAAGAGCATGGTGACAAAAGCTGGGGGAAGGAGGTCCTTCAAGGACAGGGACATGAGAACACCCCAACCCTTCTTAGTAAAGAAGCCAGATCTGGGTCCTCTTCACAGGGGGAGAGGAGAAAGATGGGGATGCCCAAACTACTCCTGAGCAAAACATGGAGATCAGGCCCCTCCCTGCCCACACCCCCACTCCCCAATATCCTGATCTTTGGAGACTTGAAGTTCAGAGAGAGAAGCTGAGGTCTGCAGGCCACTGGGGTGAAGGGTCCGAGAGCGGGGTTGTGGGGGTCGGTGGAGGGGGCAATGACAAGTCCCCTCTGCCTGCTGCTGGTGTCACTGGGGCTCCTGGGGAGAGAGAAAGACACTGACTGAGGGGCAGGCTCTACCCACACAGCCTGTACTCCCCCCCAGCCCTGCAGGCCATCCCCCCACACCCATGCCCACAGAGGTCCATATCAGAACCCAAGAATCCTACCTAGGATTCCCAATGATTTTTCTCAGCCCTGGCTAACTGGCTCCTCACTCATTTCCTTCGAGGTCACAAATCTTTTATCCTGAAAGTCATCCCTTCAGCTCTTAGGGGACTCTCACCCACCATCCCCTCCTTCCCCACCATCTCAGGGACACCCATTGGTGGCCACTAGATGGAATGGGTCCTCCTCTCATAGAGGAGGTGGAGAAGGAAAGCCCAGGGCTAGCTGAGGGAACAGGCTACCCCACTCCTCCACACCTTCATCCTCCAACAGAGCTGGGTGGAGGTGATGCTAGAGATCCCCTTTGATTGAGGATATGAGATAGGGGTTAATGACTGTTGTTGCTACAGCTGGGCCTGGGCTTCAAGGAAACAATTACCTGTGACTCAGTCCTCTAGTTAAATGTGTATATGTGTGTGTGTGGGGGGGGGTGCGCGGGCGGAAAAGGTGGTGTGTTTGGATCCTGAAAAGGGCATATGTACCAGAGGAAGAAAGGGGTTGGACAGAGGGGAGACAAGATGGGGACAGTACTGACAGGAAAGAACTAGATGTGTAGTTTTCAAGAAAAGGAGGAAGGCAAAGAGACAAGGCGTAGGCAAAGAAGGCAGGGAGTTGGATGCCAACCAGTGACCCAGTTTCAGTGGCCAAGTCAGCAGCGAAGCCATAAAGCCCATGCCCCATTCTTCATTCCCTGGCTCCCAGCCTGCTCCAGGAAAGAATGGAACCTAGACCAAATCAATGGCTTTATCTTTTTCTCTGGAAATCATTACTTTACTGGCTGAATCAGCAGGATTTCTAGATGTGGCAGCCAGATGGTACCCAGCCACCTCTCCCCTCACACCCCCACCAAAAGGACCACTCCTCTTTGGCTAAAGCACAGCAGAGAAGACTTCTGCCTCCGCCCCTGACCATTACTCCCACCTTGCACTGCCCAAACCCGCCATGCTATCTGTCCTGGGGGTGCAGATCTCAGCTGCTCAAAAGGCTGCATCCTCAAACTAGTCTTCTCATGCCAAACCCAAGCCTCCACCCACCTCTTGGAATTCCCATGGCTCTCTCCTCTCACTCCTTGCTCCCCCAACCACCCTGGGGCCTGATTTCACCCACCACTGTGTGCCACCTCCCTCTGGACCCTTCAGTCCTCTGCCTGAGCCCGTTCAAGCACCCATACCAGAGCTGGCCACTGTCCATTCCTCCTGGTGCTGCTGCTGATGCTGCAGGAAGCTGATTCGGCGGCGGAAGCGGCGGGGACAATGAGGACAGGTGAAAGGCCCTTCCCGGGGTGCATGGACCCGCCCGTGGCCCTCCAACCGGGCAGCTGTCCTGAAGGCCTTGCCACAGATGCTGCAGCGGTGGCGCTTGGGGTCCGTGTGGGTCCTGCCATGGTTCTTAAGAGACAGCAGGTTGGGCAGAAGTTTGGGGCAGAGGGAACAAGGATACAGTCCAGTGGTGTGGGCTTTCTGGTGGTTCAGCAGGCTGCCAGCATGGCGGTAGGAACGCCCACACTGGGCACAGCGGAAGGGCCGCTCCTTGTCTTCAGCCACCATGGACTTTACTCCTTGCCCTCCACTAGCTCTCTCAGCATTCTCTCCTAAGGCTCTGGGGGCTTCTGATGGGGCCTCCTGGGCTCTCCCTTGACCAAGGAGAGCCACTTCATCCTCCACAGTCCCAGCTTTGGGACCTCTGGCCGCCTCTATCTGTGCTGGCACCTGACTGTGGCTCCTGGCATGAGTCTGCAGGTGGCTGGCTAGTTCGTAGTGGGACTGAAAGGCCTTGCCACAATCAGGGCAGGCAAAGGTCTGGGCATCTATGTGGTTGTGGCTGTGGCTCTTAGTGGCCACAGGATTCAAGAACTCCTTGGAGCAAAGCAGGCAATAGTGTCGGTCTGTCTTGTGGGTGTTATGTTGGTTTAAGAGGCCATCCGATGGGCAGTAAGTCTTGCCACACTGACTGCAGGAAGAGGAGTGACTCTCTGACTGGAGCTGAGCGCTGTTGCCCCCATTGTCCCAGCAATCCATGTGACTCAGACTAGGTCCATTGGACTGGCTGACACCAAAGTGACAAGGACTCCTAGGGACACTGTCTGACTCATCTGGCTTAGTCTGTACTTGACCCTGAGGAACCCAACCTCCATTGTGGTTCACCAGTGCCCCATTTCCTTGCCACCCATCTGTCTTTCCCATGCTCCAGGACAGTGGCTCTGTGGCTTCCAAACCTGCTGCCCTAACAAGGCTCTGACTGTGCTCCCCTAGCCTCATGGCTCCGTCCTCCAGCTGGGGTACTGACTCAACACCACCTGATCGGCCCTCTAGCCCCTGGTCATCAGCCAAGTTCCCCTCACTGCCCTCTGTGCCATTTGGGCCTCCCTGGCCATCAGCCAGCTCCCTTTCTGACTCCTCCTCGTGCTCCCGCAGGTGCCGCTCCAAAGATCCCCGGCCAGGGAAGCCACGGCCACAGAGGGCACAGCGCACAGCTAACCGCCGGGACCGTCCAGCACGCCGCCGCCGACTCTCAGAGTGCAGCCTCTGATGGTCCTTCAGAGCCATGCGGTTGGAATAGGTCTTAGGGCAGGTGGGGCAGCTGTACTGGCCTGTCTCATGGCTGCGTCGGTGGTTCAGGAGGCTGCCCGCATGGCGGTAGGTCCTCCCACACTGTCCACACCGGAAGGGCCGATCTTCCCGAGTCAGCTTTCGGGTACCTCCAGTTGAACGCCGCTCAACGTGGACCCGCTGGTGGCTAGCCAACTGCTTCCGCAGGCGGAAGGCCTTCCCACATTCACTGCAGCGGAAACGTCGGGGATCTGCATGGATGCGCCGGTGATTCTTGAGCGACATGAGGTTTGAGAAGCCCTTGGAGCAGGCCTGGCAGCCGAAGTGGCCAGTCTGGTGGCTCTGCCGGTGGTTGATGAGGCTGCCAGCGTGCTTGTAGGAGCGGCCGCATACCTCACAACTGAAAGGCCGCTCAGAGCTGGCCTCGGTCTGGCAGCCCTTCTCTGCAGTCTCCAGCCTTGGCTCTAAGTCCTCTCCCTTCACGGTGGTTTCCTCCCACACCTCTTCCTTCACCCCTGCCACCTCCTCCAGGGGCTCCACTTTAAGTTCTTCCTGCAGCTTCTCCACTTCTGCCTGTTCTGGCCCCTTCTCTGCCATGTCCTGGGGCTCACTGCTGCCTCTTGCCTCTGTGATGGGCCCTATTTGGGGCTCAGACCCTTTGCAACGAGGGTGGTTCCGCAGATGATTACGGTAGGCAGCTAGGTTGGGGTAGCAGCGGGAGCAGACAGCGCAGATGAAGTCTCCAGTCTGGTGGATCTTGCGGTGGTTCACCAGGCTGCCCCCATGGCGATAGGTCTTGCCACACTGGTTGCAGCGGAAGGGGCGGGGCTGAGCCTCTAGCAAACTTTCACCACCCTGCATACAGAAGCTGTCTGCCACTGTAGTGCCTGCTCCCTCTTCGGTCTTTGTGTCTCTACCCTCTCCAGAGACAGAGGTCACTATGCCCTCTGAAACACCATCTGTGACCATCTCTGTGGCATCACTTGATGCCCCCAAGGGGCTGGGAGCCCTGTCTGTGGGAGTCCCAGAACTCTGACTTTGGTGGTGACGCTCCAGGCTCCCCAGGTCATCATAGGTCTGACCACAGCAGCCACAGATGTGCCCGTAACCTGCTCCATCCAGTGCCTCCACCTCCCGCTGCAGTTGATTTAGCAGCTCTGCTTCCGAGAGCTGCAGGGGTGGGCTGTGGATAGAGGCCGCCTCTGTAGCTCCTTCCTCTTCCCCCTCCTCCTCTGAGCCCTCAGTTATGCCAGAGGAATTGTGAGCCTGGCGCCGGTGAAGCCTGTAGCCAGCTCGGCCGGGGAAGATCATACCACAGAGGCAGCAGAGGAAAGGCTGTGCTGAGGCTGCCTCCCCAGGTCCGTGGTTCTGGAAGTGGCTGCGAAGGGCAGGCAGAGAGTCAAACTCCTTTGGGCAGAGGGAGCACTGATAAATGCCTGGTGGGTGGCATGGCTTGTGGCTCAGCAGACCAGTTGCATGGGGGAAAGAATGCCCGCAGTCAGAACATGTGTGAGTGACCTCAGCCTGCCTGCTAGTGACAGCTTTGGCAGAGTGGGAAGAGGAGTTGGGCTGGCCAGTGGTTGGTTTCTGGTCTTTGTCCACCCCAGTGAGGCCATCGCAAAAGTGAGTTCCATTGTCTCCTTCATCACCTGGGATGTTCAAGTTGTCTAGGAAACAGACCTCCTTCCTTTCCAGTTCTTCCTCAGTGCTTCTGTTCTCTTTGTCATCCTGGAAATACGCCTCATCACTCTCAAGCCCACATTTGACCCCTTGAGATTCAGCCTGCAAATAGTTCCTATCACTCTCCAAGTTGCCTTCAGCCCCACGAGAACTCTCCCTTGAAGGATTCTGAGAAGAATCCAGGCCCTCATTGTCTTCTAATTCCTGAACCCAGTTCCCCTCCGATGGGAGTTTGGCTTCTCCCCCACCCCTGGCACTCTCAGCTCGTTTCCGATGCCGTCTGCTTCGCCGCCGACTGTGGCGTCGCAAATGGTTCTTCATGGCAGCCATAGTGTGGAAGTGCTTGGCACAAGCCCCACAACTGAAGTCTCCCGTCTGGTGGGTCTGCCTGTGGTTAATAAGGCTGCCAGAGTGGCGATAGCTCTTTCCACAGTCTCGGCAGGCAAAGGCCCGAGGAGGTGACACTTCGGTCTCTTTCCTGCTATTTTCCCCTTCCTTTGCTCTGTGGGTCAGGCCATGATGTTTGAGGCTCTCAGGGTCCTCAAAGAGCATTCCACAGATGCTACAGATCTGTGGTGCTGTCCTATCTGCTGCTGGGGAGATATCAGTGGCCTCCTCTTCATGTTTGCATGCACGTCCCTGATCTGTGTGTGGGGCTGCCTCTGCTTCCACTGGGTCAGGTGGAAGTTCCACCTTGAGATGGCTAGGGTCTGCACTTCGACGAGCAGCCTTGCAATGTACACGCACATGGTTGCGCAGGGCCATAAGGTTAGGGTACTTGCGGGGACAGAGGGAGCACTGGTACTCTCCTGTCCGATGGCTGTGGCGATGGTTCACCAGGCTCCCCCGGTGACGGTAAGCTCGACCACATTCATTGCACTTATAGGGCCGATGGTCCAGGGTGGTGGTGGGGACCTCTTTCTCTTTGTGGGTGGTCTCGGACAGCAGCAGGGAAGCTGGTGGCACGGATAGCTGCCTATCTTCCCCAACTCCTTGGCGGGGCCTGTGATGAGCCCGCACATGGTTTTTGAGGGCAGCTGCATTGAACAGTTGCTTAGAACAGATTGAGCAGGGATAGACCCCAGTTTGGTGGCTCTTTCGATGGTTGATGAGGCTCCCAGCATGGCGGTAAGTACGGCCACAGTCACCACAGCGGAAAGGCCGGTATTCTTCCAGGCTATTGTCCTCCAGCTCCCCAGAGGTGCTGAGCTCCCTGGAGCCATTCAGCATCTGTGTACTAAGGATCTGGTCCCGGCTGCTCTCATCTATGTGCCCATTGGTGGTGGGCATGCCTTTGTCTTCCCACTGCTGCTCCTGCCTTTCACCCTCATGGGACTGCTGGTGTTCCAGCAGCTCCCGGGGAAGCCGGAAGGCACGAGGGCAGTGGGGACAGTGGTAAGGCCGATACTGGGCATGGAGTCGAGAATGGTTTTTCAGGGCCATGAGGTTAGAGAACTCCTTGAAGCAGATAGCGCAAGGGTAGATGCCCAGAGTGTGGCTCTGGCGGTGGTTGGTAAGGCTCCCAGCATGCTTATAGGTTTTGCCACATTGGCTGCACTTGTACCGCCTCTCCTCCTCTGCAGGCGGAGACTGGGTGGGCTCCTGGACCCCTGTGAAATTCACCACTGACTCAGCCAAATACTGTTCCAAATTACTAAGGAGGCTGCTGGCTGGGGTGGGGAGAGGTGGGGCTCTGGTGGAGTTGGTGGTGGGGCCCCAGCCCTCTGTACCCGCCTCAGGATCTGGCTGGCTTTCCCAGCCTTCTCTTTGTCTGGTAGGTGAATCTTCCCAAGTACCCGGAGCTGCCCTGGGATCAGATCCAGACTCACAGTCAGGTGTCTCTTCGGTATGTTTTGCTTGATTTCCCCAGTCTTCCCCAGGGCCAAGCCTCTGGTTCCAGGAGTCAGTGGACACTGTCTCGCCCTGGAGGCATGGAGTAGCTTCCTTATATCGTGAGGGCCTGCGCCTGCGGTGGCCCTCAGGAGCATGAGTCCTCATGTGGCTCTTGAGAGCCATGGGATTGGTGAAATCCTTGCCACAGGTGGTACAGGGGAAAAGCCCAGTCTCGTGGGTCCGGCGGTGGTTGACCAGGCTCCCTGGGTGGCGGTAGCCCCGCCCACACTGCTGACAGCGGTAGGGCCGAGGGATGCTGTCAGCTTCCTCACGGTCCTGGTTGGAAGACAGATGGAGCAGTTCTTGGTGCCTTGACAATTCCAGAAGGCTAGGAAAGTGGCGCTGACAGTCAGAGCAGCTGAATGAGTGGGGCACGTCCTCCATGAGGCAATGTGGCAGAAACCTGGAGGTTCAGGAACAGACAGGTGGCAGCAGCATCTTCCTCTGGTAGAGAGGCCAAGGCCTAGGAAGAGGGGGCAGTGGTCAAAAGTAAGGCCTAAATCAATGTTGACTCTGGGATCTATGAACAAGTTCACCTAAGATCTCTGAGAGGCTCCTCGAGAATCAACGTCCAGGGATCTGCTTTCTAAGGAATCTAACCTGGAGATACCATCATTTAAGGCCTCCCTGTACACTAGCTCCACAAATATGGGAGGTCCCCTAGGCTTAAGTGTTCGGGGACTCAGTGGCTCAGCCTGTAATCCCACGCCTTTGGGAGGCTGAGGTGAGTGGATTGCCTGAGCCCACAGATTTGAGACCCGCCTGGGCAGCAAGACCTCATCTCTACAATAAATCAAAATGAGCCGGGCGTGGTAGCGCGCGCCTGTTATTCCAGCTACTTGGAAGGCTGAGGCAGAAGGATTGCTGGAGCCCAGCAGGTCGAGGCTGCGGTGGCCGGGAGCGGCCACTGCACTCCAGTTTGGGCGACCGAGTGAGACTCCAACTCAAAAAAAAAAAAAAAAAATAGATAAGCAAAATAAAATGTAGAGGGATGCGACCTACTTCTGGTCATAGACTTATTATCACATTCTTCAAATCAGATCCAAAAGATATTTCTGTCCCTAACACTTTGCTCTTTACAACTCTGAAACAAACAAACAAAATTTCCTATGACATCTTAAATGGAAACCAGAATCTCTTCCAGACCTCAATAAGAGAAGTCTAAACCTTCCTCCTTCAGCTAAATAGAGTAACCTAGAAGCACTGAAAAAACTGCTTTCTCTAGTTGACAGTTGAGAACTTGAGAGGGTAGAGGCACCCTTCGGGGAAAGGGCTGGCATACTCCCCCACCTCCTAGTTCTTTCAGTGTCACAAGGTCTCCTTTCTAAAAGACTTTCTTGGCCACTTTCTTTACCTACTTCCCCTGAGCCCACCCAAACTATCTTCCATCTTGGAAATCCCATCCCATTTCAGGTTGGAATTTTACTTCCTCGCCTTTTTTCTCTCCTGTGCCTCCTTACCTTATCCTCACCAGTCTTTCTCATTTTTTCTTCTGCCTCTTAATACTGATGAGGATGACTACAGCAACTCATACTGAGCATTACCATGTGCCAGGGACTGCTAAGTATATTCACTGTGTCACTTAGTTCTCACAACACACTGCGATGCTTGGTATCCCAGTTTACACAAGAGCAAACCCACTGACTGAGGCAGTCTTCATTCCAAAGCCCCTCTCATACCTCCTCCATCACCTTGTCCTTCTCCAGTTGACTCTTCATTCCCATGGGACCCCATAACAACTCCTATCACCGACTGTAAACCCCGCCACTAAGCCTGCTCCCCGAATTCTCACCTCACGAAGCCCCTGTGCTCAAGAGTTCCCTCCCATAACCAATCTCCAATGAAGTGCTCTGACCTCATTCATGTCCGCCAATTTCCTCTTAGGACCCCTACCTCGCACCGGCGGCCCCTTGTCGTTCCCGCCGTGGGCGCGTCCGTTGGGGACCGCGTACGGGAGCGCGCCTGCGCACTGAGACCCTTACCCTAACTGCAGCCGCGCGCCCCAAAGGGTGGCTGTGGGGGGGCTCTCGCGCTCCCACACACCCACACTCAGCCAGGGCTCCCGGGAGGTGGGGGGGAGGGAAATGAGGAAAAAGAGAAAGGGAAGGGGGAAGAAGGTAGAGGGAAGAGGGCGCAGCTGGCATGAGCCGGGAGACTACCCCCAGCGCGGACACTTCCTATTGTTACTAGGAAACAGGAAGTGTCCTAGGTGCAAAAGCTTCCCCCGCGAAACTTCCGCCTCCGGAGCACTTCCTGTCCCGCCTCCAAGCCGCCTTTTCATACAGACATTTCCGGTGCCAGGCTCTAGCCCTAAACGACTCTGGCTCCGCCTATTAAGGTCACATGGCCGCAAATATACGCCCTATCTTAGCCACACTTCCGGCAAGAGCTGTAAAACTCTGGTGCAGGTTGAATAGGCGCAGAAGAGGGAAAAATATCTTGCAGGCCTGGCCACAGTACTTTGGTGACACTTTTTGTGAGGGTCCCTCCAAGACTCTTCCCCAGACAGATGGGGAAAACTTCATTAAATCCACTCCTCGCTGTTAAAGGAAACATGGACTATAAGAGGATTTAGGTACTACGAAGCTTGAGCACGACCTTCTGTTCTCCCACTTTCTCGTTCTTGGAGACGCTTCCGGTGACCCAGCCCCAGACTAGCACTAGCCCGGTGTATGCCGCCAACCTGTCCGGCGTCCCCTCCCCTTAGCACCCACAGAGACCTCTTGCAAGTTGTTCTCCGCCACCACAGCTAGAGGCTCCCCCCTAAACTTTTCCTTCCCTTCCAGCCGGGAAAGGTTCCTTCCACTTCCGCTCGCTGCCCGCCGGCCCCGCCTCCTCTGCCCCCCGCTGGGTCCTAGCGCCGGCCCCTCTCTGGCAGCGTCCTGGGCTCCATCCGTGTGAGAAGCCGACGCCGACGCCAGCGAACCAGCTCAAGTCCGAGCAGGTAGGAACTCCAGCAGGCAGCTGCTGGGGCTCTGGACAGCCCCGCGCGGACGCAGCCCGAGCTGGCCTCAGTTTCCTTGTGGGCGCCCGGGAAGGACTGGGTTGGCCCGGCGCGAGCAGCGCGGGCGGGGCGGGCGGTGAGCGGCCCCGGGCGAGCTCCGGGCCCAGCAGGTCCTAGAACCCGCCGGCTGTCTCGCGGGCCGCTGCTGCAGACGCCTCGGCTCGGCCAGCGCGGCTGCCGGCCTTGCGCGGTGCGGGCCCAGGGGTCCTAGAGCCCGCCATGTTGCGGGCTTTTGTCCCCGACGCACGGCCCGCCTAGCAAGGTCCTTGGCGCCGGGGGCCCCCCTCCCCGGCCGAGGCCCTGGCCACCCCTCCCGCGGTCCTAAAGAACGCCATCTTGCAAGCCTTTGTCCCGCCTCGGGCCCTCTGTCCATTCATTTGTTCATTCCCTCTTTCTTCGTCCACTCCTTCTTGCCACGTTCTCCGAGGCCACATTTTCCGGGGGCTTATCACGAGACGAGTAAGCCTAGGGTCCTGCCCTTCAGGGACTGCCTGTCTGGCGGGGGCGCCGGCATGCAGACTTGCGGGGAGCGAGGAGCGCAGGGTTCCTGCAGCACCCGGCCCCTCCTCAGCGCGTCTTGTAGGCCCTAACGCCATTCAAACTCCCACAAACTTCAGGGACCCCATTTTACTGATGAGGAAACTGACGCCCAGAGCGCCGTGGGGCCCTTTACCTCTACTGCCCGTTAAGTATTCTGAGGGAAGGGGGGATTGGAAGGATGCAAGAGGGCTCCCAAGGCAGAGGGAATTGCATATTGAGGTAGGGAAGTTTGAGAGTTGTGGCTGGAGCTTAGGTGCGGAGGGGTCACTACCTCTAGAGTTGAGGCTGAAAAAGTAGGTTGGGAACTGACCAGATTAGAGGCGGGGGAGATAAGCAGCGCTCACCTCTGCGCCGTTGCGTCAACTCGCCAGATCTCTCATGGCTTTTGTGGTGACTGCTTGTTTAGAGATGGACAGACTGAGGTACCTCCTTTTTCATCTCATCCCTGCCCCTGGGTTCTAGTCTAAGCTCTTTGAAAATTGAATCTCTGCATCCCTGTGGAGATAGCAAAACTGCATCTCCTCTTATGCCAGAATGAAGCAAAACAAGGAAGGCTCCATTACCACAATAGTGAACCCACTGTGGGATATTGGAGCGATAGGTGGGCTTTGTGAAGGTGGACAGTTTTGGTTAATAAATAGTTATTGATGGACATTCCCACAGACTCCCACTATGGAGGATGCAGAGGCTATACACCTGGGTTGGAATCGCATCTGAGGTTGACTCCTGTTTGCTTTGGGTCACCAAACAGGGTTCTGGGTTATAGAGGATGCATACAGTCCTGGCTCTCTGAACACTAATCCGGCCGGGCGTGGTGGCTCAAGCCTATAATCCCAGCACTTTGGGAGGCTGAGGTGAGAGGATTGCCTGAGCCCATGGGTTCCGGACCAGCCTGGACAATTTGGTGAGACCTCATCTCTACAATAAATCAAAAAATTAGCTGGGCGTGATGGCACATGCCTGTAGTTCCAGCTACTTGGAAGGCTGAGAGGGAGAGATCATCTGAGCCTAGCAGGTCAAGGCTGCGGTGGTCATGAGCATGCCGCTGCACTCCAGCCTGGACCACAGAGAGACTCCAGCTCAAAAATAAAAAAGGGACACTAATCCCATGGGACCAGAGCCCCACCCTTAATTACCTAATTTAGCCTTAATTCCCTAAAGACCTTACCTCCAAATACATCATAATGGAGGTTAGTTGTTGAATATATTAGTTTGGAGATGGGTCACAAACATTCAGTCTGTAACAGACTTCTAGGCAGTATGAGATTAGCTTAAGTAGTATGCATGAAATTCTTAGAATGATACTTTGTCCACAGAAAGCTTGCATGGAGTGATGACATCATAAAAGAAATGAAAGAAGAGAAGATAGAGAGTAATTAGAATGGGTAAAGGTAGCATTAAGAAAGGTGGTCTTCATGACCAGCCCGGGCAACTTGGCGAAACCTCGTCTCTAAAATAAATCAAAAAAATTAGCCAGGTGTCATAGCATGCACCTGTAGTTCCAGCTACTTGAAAAGCTGAGGTGGAAGGGTCACCCGAGCCCAGCAGGTAGATGCTGTGGTGGCTATGAGTGTGCCACTGCACTCTAGCCTGGAGCAACAGAGTGAGACTCCAAGTCAAAAAAAAAAAAAGAAAGGTGGTCATTCAGTGCTTCTTGGTTGGTAAAAAATAAAATAAAGGGGAAAAAATATTTTTCAAGGGTTTTAAAAAAAAGAACAGTGTTCAAGAAAACCCTCTTTTGGGAGGTGGAGGCGAGAGGATTGTCTGAGGCCACGGGTTGGAGACCAGCCTGGGCAATATGGAGAGACCTCGTCTCTACAATAAACCAAAGGTTTATTAACTGACGTGGTAGCGCACGTCTGTAGTTCCAGCTATTTGGAAGGCTAAGGTGGAAGGATCGTCTGAGCCCAGCGGGTTAAGGCTGTAATGGCCATGAGTGTGCCACTACACTCTAGCCTGGGTGACTCAAAAACAAACAGATTCTCTTTGAGGAGGGGTCACAGGGAGCTGAGACCCAAATGAAATCAAAGAGACAACTATGTAAAGATCCTGGGAGGCCGGGCTTGGTGGCTCAGCCTGTAATCCCACGCCTTGGGAGGCTGAGGTGAATGAATTGCCTGAGCCCGCGGGTTTGAGACCCGCCTTGGGCAACTTGGTGAGACCTCATCTCTACAATAAATCAAAAAATTAGCCTAGTGTGGTAGCACGCGCCTGTAGTTCCAGCTACGTGGAAGGATCGTTGGAGCCCAGCAGGTCGAGGCTGCAGTGGCCAGGAGCAGCCACTGCACTCCAGTCTGGGTGACAGAGTGAGACTCCAACTCAAAAAAAAAAAGATCCTGGGAGAAGAGTGGTTCTGACAGTGGAAACTGCTAGTGCAAAGGCCCTGAGTGGGAAGGAATTTGACTCTGAGGAGAAGCCAGAGAGCCTGTGTGAGTGGAATCTAGTTGGCAAGGGGGAGAGGGTGAGGAGGCAGGCGTTAGATGCTTTGGGGCCTTACTGGTCATGGAAAAGATATTGGTCTTTTTCCTGGAAGCGGCAGGATTTGGCTAGTAAATCTTGAGTGAATAAAGACTGGCAGAGAAGGAGTCCAGCCCAGAGCCTGGAGACTTGGATTTGAGTCTGGACTCCTTTACTAGGTGTGTGTCCTTATGAAAGTTTCTCTTGTGGGAGCCTTAATCTCAGCATCTGAAAAGAAGTGTAGTAAATGATGGCTGCCCCCCAAGATTTAAAAAAAAAATTAAAAGAGGTATAGTAAAAATTAAAAATGTCTCTCTTCCAGGAGCTTGTGAAGACCTAAAGATGTGTATTTGGTTCTTAAGTGTTGATTGGAATGATCCAGAGAGTGTATTTAAAGTAGATTGCTGGCCAGCCTAGGTGGTTCATACCTATAATCCCAGCAATTTGGGAAGGAGGGGCAGGAGGATTGCTTGAGCCTAGGAGTTGGAGACTAGCCTGGACAACATAGCTAGACTGTCTCTGCAAAAAAAATTTAACAATAATCTGGGCATGGTGGCACCTACCTGTAGTCCCAGCTACTCAAGAGGCTGAGACAGATAGCTCGCCTGATGAGCCCAGGAGGTCGAGCCGTGATCGTGCTACTACACTCCAGCCTGGGCAACAGAGTGAGACCTGGCTCAAATAAATAAATAAGATAAAGTAGATTCCTGAGTCCTACCTCAAGCTCCCTGGATGATAGTTCTGATGCAGTGGGTTCACAGACCTAACTCGGAGAAACATCTCTCCAGGGAGTAGTGGGTGGGAGGAGTTAGTTTTTACACAGAGGCCTGGCCTCTGGAGCCAGTTGCATGCTGGGATCAACCTGGCACTGCCTTACCTTTTTCCCTGGGAAGTGCCTTAGGAGTAGGGATTTACCCCTCCAGCTAACTGGTATCTGTTCACAGATAGGAAGACTGAGGCCCAGAGCTGGCAAGAGGCAGTATAGGGGCCAGAGCTCAGAACCAGTGGGCCAAGGCCTCAGAGGGAAACAGAGACATTAATGGTGCTGGCTCTGGTCTCAAGGCAGTTCTGCAGGAATGAGAGAAGACAGGAGTGATCTGAGCTTGGGGTTCTGGTCACTGCGGCTGGCCCAGGCAGCAGACAAGTCTGGGAAGCCTCAGACCACTGAGCAAAGGCACAACAATTTAAGACAAGTCAGTTACTAGCTGTGCGACCATAGGCAAATCACTTAACTCTTGGTACCTTAATATATCTTCTGTAAGATGGGGTCAATAAGCCTGTAATCCCAGCACTTTGGGAGGCCACGGCAAGACGATTGCCTGAACCCAGGGATTCAAGACCAGCGTGGACAACTTGGTGAGACCGGTCTCTACCATAAATTTAAAAATTAGCCTTGGCAGGGCTCGGTGACTCAGCCTGTCATCCTGTACTTTGGGAGGCTGAGGTGAGTGAATTGCCTGAGCCCACAGGTTTGAGACCCGCCTGGGCAACTTGGTGAGACCTCATCTCTACAATAAATCAAAAAAAGTTAGCTGGCCGTGGTAGCGCGTGCCTGTAGTTCCAGCTACTTGGAAGGCTGAGACGGAAGGATCGCCGGAGCCCAGCAGGTCGAGGCTGCGGTGGCCGGGAGCATGCCACTGCACTCCAGTCTGGGTGACAGAATGAGGATCCAACTCAAAAAAAAAAAATGAGCCATGTGTGGTGGCTCACACCTGTAGTTCCAACTACTTGGAAGACTGAGGCGGAAGGATTGCCTGAGCCCAGCAGGCCGAGGCTGTGGGGCCTTGAGCGTGCCACTCACTGCACTCCAGCCTGGCCAACAGAGTGAGACTCCCAAAAAAAAAAGATGGAATCAATAATCCCTATCTCAGGAAGCCATGAGAGAATTAAATAAGTAACACAGCCAGCAGAGTTTGACTCTGAGAAGAGGCTCGATAATTGAT